TCAGGCCCTGAGTCCCCTCACTCTGCCAGTAGATAGAATGACTGGATAGATGGAAGGTAGGTAGACAGACAGATTGTTTTAATTTATTCTTTGAGGATTTCACACAATGTATTTCAATCATATTCAACCCCCTATTTTCTCCCTCCAGCTCCTCCCAGATCTCACCCGTGTCCCCCTCCCAATGTCAGGTTCTTTTTTTTAAATCTAGCACACTGAATCCATTTAGTGCTACTCCTGTGTGCATGGGGGTGGGGCCATACAGTGAAGTGTAGCCAACCTGCTAAGGACCACACCCTGAAAGAAACTGATTCTCCCTCCCTTAGAAACCATCGGCCACCTCAGTCAGGAAGGGGAGCTCATATGCCCTCTGCCCATCAGGGCTGGCATGTTGACTGGCTTGATTCCTTTCGGACAACCATAGCTGTCATGAATTCATAAGAGTAGTGGTCCTGTCATGTCTGGGACACAGTTTTGCCCCAGTATTCTCTAACTCTGGGTCTTGCTATCTTCCCACCACCACCTCTACAGTGTTCCCTTAGCCTTGGCAACAAGAGACAAGGCCAAATGAGCAAGAGGTGAGCAATCTTCCTCTTACCGTGCCTTTTTTATATATGTTTACATGTGGCTGATGCAGAAGGTGCTGCCACATTTGGGGTGCTCTTCCCACATCACGTAAGGCAATCTAGACAATTCGTCAGGTTATGGTCCCTACTCATGTGATTTTTAATTTGTGGCATGTTGACACTTAAACCAACACCCCATCCTATGCAAGGAAATTATGAATAAAGGCGTATGCAGACTGCAAAGACACAAGGAAGTTTTATTCAAAAGTGAAGGGCGGGGCATACAGCATGGGGGAAGGGGCTGACCTAGCGACAGAATCCAAATGCTTGGCAACTTACAGGACACAGGAAGAAATGTGTGGGATTTTCACTCTAAAAGGCGGTTCTCAGGGGAAAGGGAGAAAGGTATTTTCAATAATCACCCATTAGAAGCAAGCTGTTCTTCTCCACTCTCATACATGGGCCTGAAAACACTTAGCCATCATTTGAAAGAGGTTGGCAAGAAGATGTTTGTAACAAATTATGCTTTACATTAGCATCTCAGCACTGGCTGGATCTGTACTACACTGACTAGGCTCCTTTCCTCCTGTACTGTATTTCATCTAAAATAGCAAGGGGAGACATATCCTGCCCTTTGCCTTTGCCATAATGATGGGAAACAAGTTAGCTGTGGGACACTCTTACCACACTGTACCTGCTAGAAAGGGTTTTCTATGGATGCGAAGGTTTTAACATCTCAGGCACTGATGGGTCGACTGCTCACAGACATCATGGATCCCTGACCAGCTCTTACAGCTCACAACAACCAGATGCCACAGGAGAGAGACTCAGCAAATCTTCACAACTTGTGCCTCCTGTCAAACTGAGTCCAGAGAACATGCCTGCAGCCTGACCACAACAGCAGGTCCTGATCAACTGGCTTGAAAGGCAGGGATGTCATTTTGCTCTCAATTGTTTCACCAGGGAGAATTTTCTGCACTGGAAAAAATAATACAAAAGGGACATACAGACCTGTTCTATTAAGAAAGTTTAAAAAAATCAATAGTAATATTGTATTGACAAGAGAGAACACACTATATAACAACAACAAGAAAATTCCTGGCCCACTGAGCACAGATTTATCAGACACTCAGGGCAAAATCCTTGTCTTAGTTACTTTTCGTTGCCGTAACAAAACACCATAAGCAAGGCAACTTATAAAAGAAAACATTTAATTCCGGGTGCACAGTCACAGAGGTTAAAGTCTATGACCGACACGATGAGGAGAAAGACAGCAGGCAGACAGGAAGGGTAGCTGGTAGCTGAGAGCTCACGAACTTATCCACAGGTAGAAGAAGGCAGAGAGCTGTCAGTCCTCAGCCTTCCTTGGAATCCCAAAGAAATAGGTTCTAACACAAGTAAGGAATGCATTGGGAACAGGGTAGATGAAAATGCCAGTGAGGACAAACAAGCAAAGAGCAAAAGCTTCCTTCTCCACATCCTTCTGTGTGGGCTGCAGCCAGCTGTGGCCAGACTTAGGGTGGGTCTTCTGACCTTGAACGATCCAAGCAAATCCTCCACAGGTGTGCCCAGCTGTTTCGGTTTTAGCTGATTCTACATAAATGCTGCATGGATTATAAAACTTGTTCAAATACTTCCTAAGTGTTTGCAGAATACTGAGTCTGTACCATGTGTTCTGATGTACACTGGGGAGAACAGAATAAGAAAAGTTCTCCCCTCAAGAAGGGTGATGTGTGAATAAAAAACAAGGGCCCACGCCCAAAACCATCTGCAAAAATGAGGGCTCTCACCAACTTTTTTTAAGAAAGCTGGGGCTACTCATTTCCTGTGTTGGCGGTGGCAAGCTACCACAAATGATGACTTAAAACCAAGAATCCTCTCATTGTCTGGAAGCGAGAATCTCAGGGCCAGAATGTAGGCAAAAGTTTCTGTCCCACAAGCCATTCCCAAGTAGCCACACAGAGGCTTAATATTAATTATAAATGCTCAGCCAATAGCTCAGGCTTGTTACTAGCTAAATCTTACATTTAAATTAACCCATATACCACGTGGCTTGGTACCTTTTCTCAGTGTGATATGCCCATCTTGTTTCTCTTTGTGTCTACTCCCAACTCCTCCCTTCTTTCCAGAAGTCTCAATTTAGCTCTTATGCCTAACCTTATCCTCTCCAGCTACTTGTCAGTTAGCTTCTTTATTAAACCAATGGCAGTGACATATTCACACAATATAAAAAAAAAAATTCCACACCAGAGGAATTCTTGCCAGTCACAACTCCATGGCTCCTAGAAACCCTTGCTGTTCCTTGGCTGCTAGGTAAATCACTCCTCTCTCTGCCTCTTACTAACAAAGACATTTTTTGCTCACACTGCGGGAGGCTGGAGATCCAAAGTCAAGTGACTGGAAGATTCAATACCTGGTAAGAGTTGTAGCTGCTCGCCCCATGGGTCAGGAAGGCAGAGCAGTGAACCCAAGACTATATTCAAGCAGCTTCCCTTACATCACTTAGGACCTAACTCCTCTTCCTCATCTATTTTTCCTTTTGGAATGCCAGTGTGTCTCTTATTCCTTGCCCACTCTCTGGCTTCGGAAGCACAAAACGTCTTTGGTTTTCCACATCCGTAACTAGAAAGGAATTTTGACACAACCCAATTACACAAATCTCACTGCTGTCTGAAGTGGGTGCATCTTAGATGTTGGAGTTAGGATCTCTGGGGCTGTTGAGGTGGAATAAACGTGGATTTGGGGGTTTAGTTACTTTTCTGTTACTCTTCTAGAATTCATGACCAAAATCACCTTATAGAAGAAAGGGTTTATTTGGGCTTACAGTTCCAGAGGGGGAGTCCATGCTGTCCAGGAGGCATGCCAGCAGTGTAACAAGCATGGGTCATGATCTGGAAGTTGAGAGATATCTTCAACCAAAAGCAGGACGCAGAGAGAGCAAACTGGGAGCAGAGGAGACTGAAAACTCTCACTGTCCACCACCAGTGACATATTTCCTCCAGCAAGGCTCCGAAGGCTCCACCACCTTCCCTAGCAGGCCCACCAACTGAGGACGTTTCTCATTTAAACCACATGGGTTTTTTATTATTATATCTGTGTGTGCGTGCGCACACATGTACACACAAGTGCACACATCTGTATGCATACATGTACCATGTGTGTCCCAGGGATCAACCTCTAATCATCAGGTTGGGCAGCAGGTGAACCAACTCTCCAGCCCTAGAATAAATGATTGGGTCTTAACAAGCACGTAAATTTCTGAGGTCCAGTGATGGAATACTAGAGCCTGAATATTTGTACTCTTGACAACTCATATGTTAAAACTCTAATCCAAATGTGATGCTATGATTTGGTTGTAAAATATCCCCAGAAATTCATATGTCACCAGCTGAAAGTGTTATGGACAGATCCTAAGTGTGCTGTTGTCATCATGGATCAATTGATGAGCTCATAACTGAGTGCACTATTAGAAAGTAGGCCTAAGTGGAGTCAATGGTGGTGTACTTTGAAGACTGAGGAGTAATGCTGTCCCTACACCTTTCCTCTGTCTCCCCTGGCTTCCCAGCTGCCATGAGGCAAGCATCTTAGTTCTGCCATTCCCTCCTCACCATGATGGTGCCTTGACACAAGCCATTATGGAATCAAGTAGCCATGGACTGAAATTGTGAGCTACAAGGTATCTTTCCTTCTTGCAGTTTTACTCAGGTATTTTGTCACAGCAACAGGAACCAAACAGAGATGGTATTTGGAGGTGGGGCCTTGTGGGGAGTGACTGAGTCATGAGCAAGAGGCCTCCTGATAGCATTAATGTTCTAAGAGATAGAGGCGCTTTCTTCCAGGAATAGGGCCCTTATCACGGCCCAACCATGACTGCACCCTGATCTTGACTCCATGGTCTTGAGAACTGTGAAAGAAGTCTACTGTTTAAGTCATCCCACAAAAACTTTTACAGCAGTCCGAACAGTTGAAATCATTCTTTCACTTGACTGATCATGTCCTCTGGAGCACAAGCATTGTTCAGACTGATGTAGTCTCATTTGTCAACTTTTGGGTTTGTTGCCTGTGTTTTGGTGTCAGAAATGTAGTAAAGAGAAATTATTTAAACATCTGGGATTTAGATGACAAAGAAAAATGCAGACATAATAGATTTTTCTTATGCTCTACTGATACAGTTAAAATCATCATGATCATGTTTGTTTACTCAAAGTGGAACAGATATAGTTCTACTATTTATTACACCAGGATGAGCTCCATTACGCAAAGCTGCCTTACTCTGGGGCTAAATTGGAGGGAGTCACAGACCTGGAAACAAACCACTCTAGCTTTTCTTTGTTTTCATTATTGTGTTGTTAAAGTAATATAATAGCGTATGAGGAATAAAATCATGGATGTCCAGAATGCAGAAGATGCTTGGCTCAATGACGATTCAACTCACAATTTAATTTTTCTGTAAATTTTTCTTTATTGTGGTGCAATAGGAATATATAGCCAGTAGAAACTGTACTCCAGACAGTGAGTCTTTTCCACTAGTGATGCAGTGCCATGTTCTCCAGCAGTGCTGAGCGAGCTCAGGCTGTCAGTCAGCATGGCCACCAGGACAGTGTAGCAAAGTTAGGATGTTCTACAAGTTACATGGTCTTAAGGCATTATTTTTTTGTTTTGGACTCACAATGTTTTGACCTTAAACGTCTGGATGACACACCATTATAAAACAAGAATCATCTACAACCACAAGCACACAAATTTCTCCCACAATTACTTACAATTCAAACAGAACCACTCCGTTCCCAGGTTCTAACACTGTATGGAGTGAACATAAACCCTGAGAAATGAACAACATCACGATAATGATATGAACCTAAGTCAGGGGAAAGATTTCTAGTTCTAATAATTTGTAGTTGCAGAGAAAGTGAGATTTCTTCAAAGTTTAGTGACTTTTTTGTTGTTGTTATTGATTTGGGTTTGGTTTGGTTTGGTTTGGTTTTGACAGTTTGATTTAGGTATTATTTTTGCATCCAATGCCAGTCCCATTCCTTGTCAGCTGGGTAACTTTGGATAAGTATTTTTAAGTCCCCTAAGTCCTATCTTCTCCTCCTATAACATGAAGACAATGATATACACCATGAAAATTAGATAACGTGAAAAGCAGGCACAGTCACTTCTCAGTCAGGGGAAAAGCAACCATAACTGTGGCTGAGACTTCAGGTGACCTGTAGTGGCTCTTGCCTTGCAAGTGAACTTGTAGTGTGGTGGCCACACCCTTTGGGTGTGGTTCAGGTGCAGCCATGACCCATTAATAAGGTAGAGGAGGGGCCGGCTCCATGAGTGGGTAGCAGAGGGCATCAGAAGAGTAGAGACCGCATCTTCTGGAGCAGGAAGACCGCTGCTATTATTACTCTTATCTGTGTAAGTCCTTCCCTAATAAACACCTATTTATCATTTATCTTGGATCTGGCCCGGCCTTCAGTGACCTTTTGTCTTGCACACTTTACGAGCTCTGTCTTGAATAGGAGCGTGTCAGAAGAAGGTCCTATAATGTCGATATGTGTGCTGTGAAGATTAATCAAAACTCTAAGATATCTGTAACACAGCTGTTCACAAGCCCGCTTAATATTTCTTTTCTCTCTATCTCCCCTTCCTTCTAGAACCAGTGTCTCTTTTCTGAGCTCAAGGTGGAGCTCCTGGGCCCACTTCTCAATGAGCTCCTTCACATGTCTGACATGGCTGGGGTGAGACCCACCGTGAGCATCTTGTAGACAAATAGTGGTGACGTCACCATCCACCCTCTCCTGACACAGGATATGGTATTTGTTCAGCGTTAGCTCATAAAACTCACACTTGTGTTTCAGGTAAAAGAAAATATCCGTATCCAGCACGAGTGTCCCTCGACTTCTGGCAGCCTTGGGTACAGAGGTCCCAGGGGCTGCTGCAGAGTTCTTGCTTCTCTGGGGAACACCTCCAGGGTTCTGTCTATTCTGATTTCTCCTTTCACCGGCATACCTCTTGTGGTTTTCTAAAGGGGAAATGGCTTTTGATACCAAAGCCTGCTTAAGCTTCATGATAGCCACAAATGAGCCTTGCACAGAGATTTTCCCACTGGGTCCCAATGGGCTGAAGTTTAAAGTTGGGATTTTCTTTTTCAGATCCATTATGAGGCTTTCTAGCACAATTTGAGTCCGAAAAACAGACAGATCCAGAATAGCCATCACATAGTTGAAGACCTAAGATGAGAAAGAGAAAAGTCAAAACAGCATGGCCTAGCGGATCAAGCACCTGAACACACTGCTTCCGGCCACTCTTCCCACAGCGCTCGCGCTCGCTCTGAGTCAGGCCCGGGTGGCCAAGCCGAGCCTCCCCAGCTTCTTGTTTTAGATCGCCCCTTCAGAGAGCCTACACTATACACCCCAAAACTGGAGGGTAAAAAAAATAGTGAGACAAAAACGCTACTTTTCAGAACCCACCAAAATATATAAACCATCATTGTGTGCTCCACAGACGGGCATCCCTCTGCAGTCAGGTCTGCCCTGCCTCTCTCTCCCAGGGACTCTAAAGAATATATGTGGGAACTAATAGTTTGCATTTTAACTGTCATTCTTGTCCCCACCTTCCCTGCTCCTTCAAAGTTCCTCTTTAATATTCATCCTAAGTGTCCCCTAGTATGAAACCTTTAACCCAGGGCTGGAAAGATGGCTCAGAGGTTAAGAGCACTGACTGCTCTTCCAGAGGTCCTGAGTGCAATTCCCAGCACTCAGGGAGTTCACAATCATTCATAACGAGATCTGGCGCCCTCCTCTGGCGAGCTCAGGCATGCATCGGGCAGAACAGGTGCACTGAAATTTAAGAACAACATGGCTAGCGGCAGTTTTTACCTTTGAGAACTGAGGAGTTTCTACTTTCATTCCTAAGTCATGCAGCAAGAGTGCTCTGTGTGTCTTTATATACCAAAGACCTCCCAGAAGAAATGGGGCCCCGGACTCAAAACACACCCTAGGGCCCACACTCACCTTTTCACTGAAGTGAGAGATCGTGAGCTGAGGCTTTGCGGCCAGAGGGTATTTCCTTTGTCTGATGATATTCTGTGCAACTATGGAAACATTAGCATCAAAAGTATTTGTGGCCTGACACACCAATAATTACTTTAATTTACAAAAAAAAAATGGGAGTGTTCCATTGTTTAGAAAGAGGCTTTTCTCATAAATCTAACATTCAAAAAACTTTTCCCTTGAGCTTTAACACACTAAAACTCACCATAAATGTGTCAAGATGCTTCTAATTCTATTTTTAAACATACATAAGTACATACATGAGTAAAAACTAATAACCTGAGTCAATCCTCCAAGTCATCTACTTCAGAAACTGGAACTCCACAATGCCAACGTTTTTCTCCTAACTCACTGCTAATCATCTCCCCACTCTCTGGCAAATCCAGACCTCAGCCTCTTTGCTGACTATAACCACCTCACGGGTAATTTCAACTTCTATGGCTTTACATCTCCATGGGTATCACATTCAAATTCTGCCCCTACTTCATCGTCCTAACAGGTGTCATATCAAGGAAAGCTCGCACCTTGTTTGGTGCTTCCTGAACACACTAGAACATTGTCTCCCACACCTCCAAAAACGACGTTCTGAACACTCACCTGCTCTGCTATTCCCCACACTGCGCCGTTGTTTCAGGACAGACGGCTCCAATCCTCAGTCCTTTACTCTCGATACAATGGCTCCCACCTAACCAGAATACAGCCCAGAACCCTCGCCCGGCTTCTCCCCACCTCCTACCCCCCCACCCCCACCTCTTGCTTCATTCTGGTCTCCACTCAATTGTTACATAAACAGAGTAATTCAGATCTGGGAACATAGCTTGATGGTACAACACGTATCTTGCTTGCATGGATGAAACCTTGGGTTTTATCTCAACATGCCTAGTGTATATGAAACTTTGGATGAGATCCCCAACACACACACACACACACACACACACACACACACACACACACACACAGTGTTTCCCAGCCAGATCTGGTGGTGTAAGCTTGTAATCCCAACTGTTAGGGAACTGAGGTCTAAGGATCTCAGTTCAAGGCCAGTCTAAAGAGCCTGGGCAACATGGTGAAATTCCATCTCCCCAAAGAGAAATCAAAAGGGGCTGGAGAGATGGTGCAGCAGGCACGAGTGCTTACTTCTCCTCTAGAGGACTTGAGTTCCGTGGTCAGCACCCACACCCAGGGCTTCACAAGCTCCTGCTGTAACGCCAGCCCCAGGGAATCCAACCCCCTCTTCTGGCCTCCTCAAGCACCTTTACACACACATAACATTCACACAAACACACACACACACACACACACACACATACATACACATGACATTCATACACACACGTACATTCCATACATACACACACACCATAAAATAAAAATAATACAAATTTTTTAACTAAAATATTAAAAGAGCAAAAGAAAGCTTCCTCCACAGTCTACCTAAAACAGTACCACCTACATCTATTGGCCTAATAAATGTCCATCCCTGTTGATGCACACTTCATGAAAACAAAAAGACTCCTATTCCATTCACGATTATGTTCTCAACATCTAGAGTAGTGTTTGGTAACAGTCACATATAAAATATCAACTTACACAACCACTGCCATCCCTTTAAAGATATGAAGAGCCCTTGCCCCAATCCCATCCCTGAGCATGGCTGTTGAGAAGGAATGGCTCAGTTCTTGGAAACAGCCAAAGGTTACTGCTGGTCCAATATCCCTAGATATTTCTAGACATTTCCTTCCCCCTCCAACCGAGCAAGAGCCTTCTCATTGCTAACACACATGCATGGAACTTTCACCCCTGAGGGGTTGGCTGGAGAATGTCCTCTGGCAGTCTCTTGCACTAGGGTCTAAGACTAAAGAGAACTGTCCCTCCTCCAGGCTGGAGAAGCAGACCCCTCCAGCTGCTTCAAGGCAAAGTTGGAAGCAGAATGGCTCAATCCTATTGCAGGTCCAGGCCATAGTTCTCAGTTCAACTTTACCAGGAACAACACATATTCTTTATCAGAATGTCTGCTTGAGAGTTTGAGGGATGAGGAGGAGACAGTATAACTATATTGCTGCTGATACCTCAAATTTACCAGAGATTATATGTAGCCAGAGGTGGTGGTGGTGCACACCTCTGATCCCAGCACTTGGAAGGCAGAGGCAGGAGGACTTCTGTGAGTTCAAGGCTACACAGTGAAAGCCTGTCTCGAGAAACCAAGAAAAAAAGGGGTGGGGGAGATTATATGTAATTTAAGTTTACTTTGTCCGTGGTCTATATATGTCTCCCAAGATAGATAGATAGATAGATAGATAGATAGATAGATAGATAGATATACATAATAGATATAGATATATATCAGCTAAATAGTTTTTAAAGCTTCACAATTTCCCAGTAACTCACACTTTATCATTAGCCATTTTCATATATTTTTGCAAATATAAGACTGGCCACTTTTCAGAGTACAATAATTGTTTAACGCTATTTCAAACTTTGCCAATGCCATGAATCATTTTAACGATATGTAATTTTTTTTTTGAGACAGGGTTTCTCTGTAGCTTTGGAGGCTGTCCTGGAACTCACTCCGTAGACCAGGCTGACCTTGAACTCATAGACATCTGCCTGCCTCTGCCTTCCGATTGCTGGGATTAAAGGTGTGTGCCACCACTGACAGGCAACAATATGGAACTTTAATTTCACTGGGAAAGTATGTTTGAGATTATAAATTTTGGTTAAGAAATACCTTTCTGCGGATCTCTGTGCGTTCGAGGCTGGGCTGGACCAATAGCCTCCGAAACAATACAGAGAACCCCTGTCTCATAAAAACCAAAAAAAAAAAAAAAGAGGGATACCTTTCTTTTCTTTGAATATGATATATGCAACCCCTTTGGTTCTTGATGGATATATCACCTCTTCCACGTGTCCGCCCTCGTTTTGGAAGTAACGCTTTATTAGCTGGTCTTTTAAAAGGCCAACGGGAAGACCGGAGACTACAATTGTTCTCTCAGAAACTGTGGGGTCTCTGATCTTCAATGCTGATGCCTGCAGAAAAGCAATTAGACGCTGTTTAAATATGAGTCTGCTGAAAGGTACTATCACATCAGTGAGACACAATGCCCCTTCCACAGAGGTGACTATCAGGAACTTGTCTGCCTCACTCCATCTACCAATGAAGACCTTACTCAAATTTGAGAGTTATGTGTACTACTAATAAGTAGAAAATATTTAGTAAGCATTTGATATTAGGAAGGCCCAAAATATAGAAAGTGTCACCCAAAGGAGGGAGGGGTTGAGACGGGCTCTTACTATGTAGCTTTAATGTAATGAGTCTTTTTCTGTCCCTCCAAACAGCTCTCAGATAATGACATAGAGACTCTTATTATGAAAGCTTAGCCTACAGCTTAGGCTTGTCCCACTAGCTCTTATAACTTAACCTACCTTTATTAATCTACATTTGACCATGTGGCTTTTTAACATTTCTTTCATTCTGTATGTCTGCCTCCCTCCGTGTCTCATTGCTGTCTCCTCTGCACCTTGATTACCTCCTCCTACTTCCTCTCTCTGCCTGGAAGTCCCGCCTATACCTCCTGACTAGGTATTAGCTATTAAGTTTTTTAATTTCATCAATCATAGCAATGCACCTTCATACAGTGTACAAATATCCCGCAACTTAGTTGGCCTTGAATTTGCTATTTAGACATGGCTGACTTCGATCTCAGAGATCCTCCTGCCTCTATCTCCCAAATGCTGGGATTAAAGGCATGTGCAACCACACCCAGGGAATTGTGCCATATTTTTTTAACACTTAAAAAGTAGCTGTGGATACAGCTCAATAATAGAGTGCTTGAGCTGTGTGTGCAAAGTCCTGGGTTTATTAAAATAACTACAAAATGTCAAAGTTTGAGAAAAGCTATCTATCTTCTAGATTGTACAGTTCAAAGTGAGTAGGTCAATAAGAAAGGCATCCCTCCTATTGTCAGGATCAGGAGAAAGTCTTGCAATAACGCTGTGGCTACACTCCACTTCCCACCATCTGAGGTGACACAGCGACATTGAGGACGCGCTCCTACAGATTCTGCTGCCATATGGAGGATGCAGCAAAAATCCTTCACTTATCCTCTAATCCTCTTGAATCCACTTCGGCTTCACACCTTCATTCACCTCCCACCCCGAGTTAGGAAAGTGAGTCTATCGGCCTCTCCCATGACGTGCACAATTAGTCCAGTCTACAACTGAAGCGAAATTCAGACCTAATCTGTCTTAACCAGCTGAGGGAGGTCTAGGTCTCCTGGGCTGGACTGATGATAAACAAACCACAAAGGAGCTTTGGGTACTCAATGCAAGAAAGGACTGTACTTGAAAAAGACTCCTCCAGGGAAGGAGTCTACCGGGGCCTCCCAGAGAGGGCCAAATGAAGGGTCTGTCCACACACACAGCGTTTGCCTTTAAAATGAAAGGAAAAAAACAAAACAAAACAAAATCAATTCACTGGTGCAGGAGCTTTCATTCAATTTCAGGGAGACAAAAACACACCAAGGTGTATGTAAGAATGGGACAGAAGAGATGAGGCTAGAATAAGGAAGGGGTGTGAGATGAAGGTGACAGTCTGCATGGCAGGGCTCAAGTATGTAAAAAGGAACAAACACAACAGGGCATGGATGGCTATTGGTAAAGCAATTGCTGCAGCTTGTTCCCCAAACCATCGACCCCCAACTCACACACACAAGCTCAAGCACACAAAACCATAGTGTCAGACACTCGTTCCGAACCACAGGAAAACAATGAGCGCCATTCTTTTTAAGAAAAAAAAAACCTAAATTAACTCTCTATAGTTAGCCTGGGCACACATGAGCACCACCCCTTCTTTTCTGGCATTTAAGGGCCCCCAGTCCAAGGATCATGGGCAAACAATCTTAAGTAAAAGGGGAAAGGAAAAAGGAAAAAGAAATTTTGAGCATCACTAGAAACATTTCCCTTTATGTGGAAAAGGAAAATTACACATTACATGAGACCAAAACAATTTAGCATACAAATAGACCCTGCTGACATAGTATTTGCTCTTCATAATGCACTACTGTTGGGTTTCAGCTTTTAGACTATATGTGCAAGTCTTCAAAGTACCAAAAAATTTTAAATGGCTAGAGAGAGAGAGAGAGAGAGAGAGAGAGAGAGAGAGAGAGAGAGAGAGGAAGGAAGGAAGGAAGGAAAGAAGGAAGGAAGGAAGGAAGGAAGAAAGAGAGGAAGACAGAAAATATCCAACACTGTCCATGTCAGAACAAAGCCAGTGTTAACAGAAACTAGAGGGAAAATGACAGGGTTGCATTGCAAAGAATCATGTAAAGTTATACAGAGTTTAAGGATGTTATAGAAGTTACAAAAACAGCCCAAAGAAAAATTTTAAGTGAGGGTCCCAGTACAGCTTCCAAAGTTGAAAATGAAGAAAGCAATCAGTTTCCCCCTCACTCATAGCAGAATCCGGAAATGACTGAGGCAATGGTGACAGACCAGAGGATTCGGTTCTCAGAATTTCTCTGCCATTTCATCCAGTTGCAGATACAAAATAAGATGACACACGGACCCCCATCTAATGACATTTTGGTTTTAGGTTTCCAATGCATGCATGAAGTTCTCAGCACATATACCTGATCATTTAGACCATTAATAAAAAAAACTGTGTTGATTAAACATATGTTCCACATTTAGCAATGTGTTGGGTACTAGAAGTGGAAAGCAGAAAGAAACTGTTGCCCTGAAAGTCTGTTCTCTCTAAAACAAGCACTGTAGGGGACACCAGGTATGCATGTGGTGTGCATACATACATGCACAGACACAATAGAATAAATTTAAAAAATAGAAAATGCACTGTGCACTCTTTGTGTCATGGAGCACATGGATAGGCTTCGCAACTCAGATTGTGGGAAAGGTACTTCCAGCTGGTGGGAGAGGGGGACACAAAAGCCATTGCAAAGAAGTTTGGTTTGCACGAACAAGGGCTCTTTATTGCTCTACGGAAGGAAACAGAACACCTCACAGATCACTTACAATAAAACCCTAAAACTACAATAAATGCCATCCAGATCCAGGGTTAAGAAGCAAGAGAAAAGAGGCTCCATGAATGAGAGGCTGAGGTAGAATTAGAATTGATCAGGCAAAATATCAAGTAAAATAAGCTGTGGCACACAAAAGTGGTGTGGGGCGGGGAGGGGGGTGTGATCATCATACTGACAGAATGCAAACAAAGGAAGATCTCCTGAAGATAAAGTGCTCAGAAATATAAAAAGTAAAAACTGACAGGCTCCGTGACAGGGAGGGTACTTTAGTGGAAGTAAACCATTTGTCTAGATGACACAGATGAGAAACATCAGACAGAAGTGTTACTCCTGCCTAGTCCCCAGAGGCTTAATATAATTTCCCCAAGTTAGTTCTCCCTCACAAGTGGGGGAGAAATGACCAAAGGGACTTTCAGATTTGCAGGGAAGCTGACTTCCTGGCTTTTATCTCTATGGTGTCCTGTTTGACAGTCCACACCAGCCTCTGTGGTAAATGGCTGGCGACCCACCATCCTTCCTGCCATATCAAAGAAAAAAAAATCCATTTAAGCTCAGGAAATGTCCACACCTCATCAGCACTAACATGTTTCGTAATTCAAGTGTCTACACAACCTTTATCTTTAGAATCAAAGAAGCTCCCTGATCCAGTATTTTTGTAAACCTTGTTTTGCAAGACCTCTCGGCATTCTGTGATCTCGGAAGCCACTTAAAGGCCCTGCGCCTTCTTCTTTAGCTCACTTGTGTCAGAGGACATATGGCTGCACATCTTCTCCTGGGACCAGCTATGAACAAAGAGTTACCAGTGTCTGTGTACAGTAAAGAAGAAAAAGGAGTGCCCCGAAGAAACTTAATCCATTCAAAGACTTTGAAATAAGGCGATTTCAGCAGAGACATGAAGGTGACGACGGCCTTTTACCATTCCCATTCTACTTCAAGAGACTCTGGGCCCTCATGTCAGAAAGAAATTAAAAAAGAAAAAAATGGTGTAAAGTAAAACTTACTTTTTTAAGCGAGGCACTAAAAAGAAATAAATAGTTCACTTACTGTTTTAGTTTCTATTTGTTTCTCAATCACCAGTCACCAGGTAACACACACACACACACACACAATCAGGTGAAGCATACAGACATTCATGCAATACAGTAACTGCTCCAAAACAGTCCTCTGGGTCTCTAGACAAAAACCCGGGGCCCTGAGCACGGAGAAAGAGGCCGCAGTCCGGTGCCCTGGGTTTGGACCTTTCTGGCTAGCTCCTTCCAGAAGTTATCTACGGCCTTCATTTCTGGACCACTGTCCTCTTCCTCACTCACAAACCCGCCGCAGTCCCGCCCAAACCCAGGGATCCCTTGCCGGTTCAGCAGAGTGCGAAAGACGCCGGTGTCCCCACGCGTGGGAGCCAGGCCTGCCACACCCGCGACGGCCACTTCGGGGCGCGCGATCGCGAGGTACTCGAGCTCTGGGACCCTCGGCGAGCCTCCCTGCACCGCGACCCCAAGGAGAGCGACTTGCCATGGCGCGGAGGAGATGCTCGTGCAACGGGAAGCCTAAAGCTGGAGGCGGGCAGGTTCCACTTTCGCTTTCAGTTCCCGTCGCTCGGGAGACCGAGCGCGGAAGGGCCGGGTCCTGCGCCCGCCGCCCCGCCAGGTAGGGCTCCCGCGCCTACGCTGCTCCTGCGTGCCCCGCGGGAATGTGGGTTTTCGGACGGTCCTGGCTGATTCCGGCCGGCGTCCCAGCACTTTCTCAAGCCTATCTCCCGCAGCTCCATCCCGCCGGCAGGGTTTCCCTCCCCGATCCCCGTTCACCACCCAATTCGGCATCTGGCCCCATCACGGGCCTCAAAGTGAAATTAAAGAAATATGCAGGAAGGCAAATGGATGGCAGAACATGAACTCATTTGTAAAGAAATAGAAACTGAAATCGTGAGACACCAACTTTCAACCAATTTACCCGAATGTTAGCACAAGCTGGTATAGGAGCAAATGTTTCTAAGGATTTGGGTCTCTGTCAGAACTCAAAACACACGGGTCCCCACAGTGTAGCACCTTAGCATGCCCTGGACTTGAAGCCAACCCTTCCTGGGTTCTCCTCTCTCCTGGATCTTTGCTTTCCCAACGCTATATAAAGTAGACACCTGTAGTCCCAAACAAGCTATGAAACCTAGAAATGTCTTCTACTCCCCTCTCTCCGAGGTAAGACTCATTCCAGCAGGGAGGGATGCTGTACAGAGCAAAAATCAGTACAGGCTGGGATCCTGGGAAGAGGACCCTCTGTTGAGGAACTACATCCATCATGTATGTGGCTTTTCTTGATTTCTAATGTGTTGGTTTATGGACATGTGTTTTCTTCCTTCCTTCCTTTCTCTCTTTCTTCCTTTCTCTCTTTTTTTCTTTCTTTCTTTCTTCCTTTCTTTCTTTCTTTCTTTTTTGTTGTTGTGAAGAGACCAGCCCCCAATTTTAGCAGCCATGACTGGCTAACATGTGCTCACATGACTTTGTTGTTCCTGTCCTTGTGGTAAGGAACCAGAAGTTAGCTGGCAGGGCTGTGCTTTACTGACAAGTGCATAACAGTGAATGCAGAACATAGCAACCGCCCTGGGAAGGCCTAAGGGCCATAACAACCAGTTGACCAATCAACACAGGGCAGGTTGTCCAATCCTGGATGCCCACCAATTCTGAAACTGTTTCATACCTCTAGACACTCCCCTTACACTGCCCTATGATTTCTTGGGTCTTTCTCCAGTCATCCGCTGAGGTGGATGGATGAAAGGCCCACGCTAATGGGGTTAGCTCCTTAAACAACTACAATAAAAGACTCTTTGCTTTTGCATTGAAATGGGCCTCTTGGTGATTTGGGGGTTCAGAATTTGGGCACAACAGTTGTTGTTTGGTTTGGTTTTTCAAGGCAGTGTTTCCCTGTGTAATAGCCCTGACTGTCCTGGAACTAGCTGTGTATGTAGACCAGGCTGACCTCACACTCACAGAGATCCACCTGCCTCTGCCTCCCTAGTGCTGAGATTAAAGGCGTGCGCCACCATCACCCCGATGTGGGCATTTTCTTGATCGCTAATTTATGCTGGGGAGCTGGGCCTACTGTGGGCAGTGCCATCCCTCAGGCAGGTGGGCCTGGACTGCGTGAGAAAGGTAGCTCCAAGTGAATCTGACGGGAAGTGAGTCAGCAGCACACCTACTGGGTTTCTGCTTCAAGTTCCCGTGTTGGCTGCCAACCTTGATGGGCTGTAACCAGCATGTTAAAATAGACCCTTTCCTTCCCAGGTTGTTTTTGGTCACAGTGTTTATTTCAGCAACAGAGAGCAAACCAGAGCGCAGGCCTTGCTGGATGCCCACCCCCACCAGTCTGTTGTCCTGGGAGTGGGACTTCTGCCCAGTTACATTTCCCAAAGCTGTTCATTCGTTAACTATCCTGAGCACAAAAACCCTTTTGCCTGGGCCTCTGGGTGTTTCTTTCTGAAGGCCTCATTCAATGCTCATGAGCTACTTAACAACTTCGTTCTACTGTTCTAGGGTTCATTGTTTCCGTAAGGGTGGTAGCTGTGACCTTTACCATGACTAAGGAAATGATAATGCCCTAACATTATCAAAATATAATGTCCAAAAATGTAAATGAGCAGTTGTCCTCAGACTTAGCAGCTCCACTCTTAGACGTTAGTCTCAAATGGTAGAGCGTGAGCGATCTTAAGAGGCTGTATAGGAATTGATATGTGCTGCTTATGGTAAGAAATCCTCTCAGCTTATCACTGAAAGTACCAACATGTACTTCAAGACTATGAAGATTTTTAGGACAGAATGGGATAGATCTACATGGAATTATATAGCTGTTCAATTTATGGTTTGTTTCCAGATCTTCCTGCCTCAGCCTCCAAAGTGCTAGGATTTCAAGCTTACGCCACCATGCTGCAAACCCCGCTATGCCAATTTGAATGTCTAACAGACATCTAAAATTTAATGAGACCAAACAGAAAGAACTTTTTTCTGAAGCTTTGGATTGAAGCCAGTGCCTGTGCGTGATAGGCAAGTGCCATGCACCCGGCTCCCTGCTTCACACTCCATTACCAATTTATACTCTATTCGTAGTCTTCACATGGCACCTTCGTCTCCTTCCCTGTTGCTGTGATCCAATGCCTGGACAGGAGCGATGGATGTAATAGAGAAAGGGTTCATTTGGTTCACGATTGCAGGTTACTGTCCTGCAAGGAAGCAAGGGGGCAGAAACATGAAAACTGATCACATCACACCCACAGTCAGGAGCACAAAGCAATGGATTAAAGAATGTCTAATGAGTTCTTAGCTTGCTTTCTCCTTTCTTACCCAGGACCCCTTTCCCAGACAATAGTACCACCTATAATAATTATTACCACAGGGACCCGCCTAATCTAAGACAATCCTTCATTTAAACTTCTTTTCCAGGTGATCCTAGCTACACTGTGTCCAACTGACAAATCTAAACTTAACCCATGATCATAAAGATCCTTTCTTAAGTCTTAAAATATTGCAACAAAGCCAGGCATTGGTGGTGCATGCCTTTAATCCCAGCACTCAGGAGGCAGAGGCAGGCAAATCTCTATGAGTTCAAGGCCAGCCTGGTCTATAGAGTGAGTTCCAAGACAACCTCCAAAACAATACAGAGAAACCCTGTCTGGAAAAACCAAAAAAAATTGTAGCAATGTTTGACATTTTCATAAATTGTATATATGTTGGCAAAAAAGAATCACAAGATAATGCTCTAGTAAGCTTTTTTCCAACATACTTGGGAATGGCCAAAGGGAAATTTCCTTTTTTCCCCAAGTCTAATCATTTATTTATTACCCTAAAATAGTTATTTTCTGACTGGATTCAGACATTTAAGTAGAAGCTCTCAGCTTCCTTCATTCTCTCAGCCAAAGTTTAGCATGTTTTGCAGCCTTCCTCATTTTTCTTGGGGCGCTGTTTTTTCAGAGAAATCATGAGCTTTTGTGTGGCGGTCACACACCCTGCCAATGTACTGGTGGACATCACCTTCTTTAGAGGGATTGAAAAGGTTTTGGATTCTGGGAGCTCTTTGGGGCCTCAACTGCCAAGACATGGAAGTATCTGTCAGCATGGTAGTATCCATTTCTCTCCTTTTTACAATAACCAAATTGAGAACACTCATCCATAATTTATCCCCGAACAGACTTGTGCTTTGCTCTATAACAAAAACCTCTCTTTGGGCTAGAACAAAAATGTCCCTTTCTCAACATCAAAAGCAGAGTCTGCTGTGGGTCAAGACACCCTGCCTCATGGGAAAACCTTGTTTGTCTTTCCCACTGATCCAGACCACACAAACCTTCCATTATTCACCCAGAACATCGTCAGGAATTTCTGTGGCTATTGACTTATAGAAAGCACAAGGTTTGCATTCATCATCCACTTCAGTGCATCTCTGACAACTGATGGTTAGGAAAGAGATACTCAGCTTCATCTTGACAGACAGCCCACAGCCAAGGAGCAGCACGGAAAGGGGATCCATTTCAATCACCACCTCATTAATAAATTTCAAACATTTATTCTCTCTCTCTCTCTCTCTCTGTCTCTCTGTCTGTCTCTCTGTCTGTCTGTCTGTCTCTCTCTGTGTGTCTCTTTCTCTGTCTCTCTGTCTTTCTCTGTGTCTCTGTGTCTCGTGTCTCTGTCTCTCTCTGTCTCTCTCTGTCTCTGTCTCTCTCTGTCTCTCTCTCTGTCTCTGTCTCTGTCTCTCTCTCTGTCTCTCTGTCTCTGTCTCTGTCTCTGTCTCTCTCTCTCTCTCTCTCTCTCTCTCTCTCCAGATTCAATGTTGTTCTTCCCACAATCTCCAGACCACTGCATGCAGAAATAGAAAAACAAGTGTGATCCCAGCATTCATGAAGCTGAAGCTCAGCGATGAGTTTAAGGCAAGCCTGGGCTACGTAAAAAGACCCAGTCTTGGAGGAAGACAAGGAGGAGGAAGAGGAGGAGAAGAAACTGTGCTTGCCTGCTCCTCAGTTCCTCCAGCTTTCCAAAGGAGCATATAAACAGCTACTTGCAGGCTGGCCATGTCACTTCAAGTCCCCAAGCTTCCAGGCTTTTCCCAGGTGCTCAAGGATGTAACAAAAACATTTTCAGCATTAGAAGAGGCTATTTACAAAAATACGAGTTTGCAAAAAAACTTTCCCAAACTTTTGTCCAGCATAGAGACCTAGTGGAATGAATCAAATGCTTTTCAGTCTCCTGGAGAGTGGTTCTTGAGAAATGATGCAATACCCATTTTGAAAGATCTAGAAGTATAGCATCCTGTTACAAAAATGTCATGGCCTTGCATACGCAAAAGCAAGAAGTTGGAGCTGGCACAAACTTCATTCTGTTATTTTCTGGAGCTCTTATGGAACTAGCTGAAGAACTTCTTAGATTAGGGGTGGCTTATCAGTTTCAGAGATGATAGAAGGTTATGAATAGCACCTAAAAATCCTATGAGCATCCTCCTGACTAGATTGTGGGGTCCTGTAAACCCTTTGGGATGCTGATAAAGTATTGACTCTATTTCTTACCCCCATAATGAGCACACACTGTAAAAAGAACACATCTCAGCCATATGTATCTATTTCTCTTGATTCCAGTAATTTTAATGCTAATAATGTCAGAGCTTGCAAAGTACTAGGATGTGGTATTTTTAAGAAGGAATCTGAAAATACTCTTGTCCTTTTGAGATCATGATAACTGAGATGATGGAAAGGTGCTGATAAAGACTGTTGGAGAGTTGCTGGATTTCATTAAAGAAGAAAACCTCATGGGCACACAAACCAAAGCTATTGCAGGTGTTGGTGAAAATGCCATTATAGTACTTATA